GAATCCCAATAAGGAAACGAATTCGACGAGATCATCTTTCGGCCAATCATGGGTGGCCCTGAGCAGATGTAAGCGATGATGATAGTGTAGTGGCGGAGCTGCACTGGTGTCGACGATCACGACTAACAACCTAAGGTTCTCACGTAATTTTATATTATCCTGTACCATGTCAGCGGAGCGCTTAACTATGTAGCACTGTAGTAATATACATGCTGTACTCCGTAAAGCAGGCGTAGGATTCGAGCCAGACGATTCAGACCCGTCACCAGAAGTGTCTTGCGTTTCATCGAAAGCGAACGACGGTCTCATGTCGGTGGTGTACTGTCAGCTCTTATCTTCTTCCACAACTTGATTCTGGAGATTCATAAAATTTAATGAAAAGAATAAGTATATTGAGCTATCATAACAACAACGAGGGAGAGCTGAAGGAGATCTCGTCAGCTTGTTCCGCCTTTTGGTCTGGAGCTACCTTATGAGCACGTTAGACCTATAGTTGCCGAGCACCGACGAGATCCAACGTGACTTGAGTAAATTTCCTGTTGTTTTAGTAGTAGGCATATCAGCACGCAGGGCATGCGCACCATAGGTCGCTAGAATGTGAGCGAGTTATGGCCATAAGTGACAACCCTACCCTAAAGACATGGGACACTTTACTTCGTCTTATCTTTTGAATAGGCCATCCCAATATCAGATTAGGTATTTATTTACTTGTGATCCTCTTCGGAATCAGTTGCTTTTGCGAGGAGGGTCATTCGAGGCCTGCGGATCGGAAGGACGATGAGAATGGCCTTTATCTCTGTTTCGTAGGTTGATATACGACACCGCAGGAACAAGCCATAGAGAACATAAATCAGAAACGTTTGTATACCTTACCTCACTTGCCCGTTATACATATGTAGTTGCCCTAGTAGAAACTATCCAGTCAGATGAGTAGGATATTAATAACGTATATACATTTGCTAGTATTTCTGCTTGGAAATATCCTCAACACGTTTTAGGCCTTGGTATAGATCTCCGAGTACCTCACAATTAGCCCTTGAGTTCATTATCCTTGCCAATCCAAGTAATTCCACTGAGAAGAACAAACCCCAGCCAGCAGTGAAATTACAAGCCAAGACACTATAATCCACTCCTTCACCCCAAAGGCGCACTATCGTCGTCGACTCCTACGCCCTTCAAGCCTTACCCCGCCAATCACGGCTATCAACACCCCGCAACTCGGAGCCCATCTCCGTATCACCTCACCCTCCATTCGATACATAAATACAACATCACCATAACCCAAAAAGATGAAATCTCGTCTTGCATTCTCACTCTCTAGAGCTAGAATTGTACCTCGCTTCACCACATTTCGAACAATGGCTTCCTCATCTGTTACCGTCCCTCCCGGAAAGTACGAGTTTCTCGTCGTCGTCCATGACAAGCCCAATGTTCGGGAGAAGAGACTCGAGGTTCGAGGGTGAGCTTTGTTCTGACCTTGGATTATATCTGGCTTGAGCTAACAGGCCGAAGAACCCACTTTAAGAACATGGTTCCTAATGTTGAGAATGGAAGCTGGAAGATGGGAGGTCTGTATTCTTCCTCCAAACAGGCCCCTAACATTGAGACTGATGTTGTGTCTAGGTGCCATTCTAAACAGTGTTCCCAAAGATGACAGTGTCGACAGCCTCGACTTTGCTGGCAGTACTCTGGTCTGCATCGCTGAATCCGTAGAAGAGGTCAGAGAGCAACTTAGCAAAGACATATATGCTACATCAGGCGTCTGGGACATGGACAAGGTAAACAGAACGTGAATCCATTCGAAAGCAATTTGCTAATTTGATATACAGGTCCAGATCTACCCCTTCAAGGCCGCCTTCAGAATGAACTAATGCACAAAGCCAATACCATTCCTGTAGAGCCATGATAGAGATCCTTCTCAAAACAGCGAACTGATACTATTTATGCTGGTTATCATGATCCATTACCATGATGTTCCTGTTGTCCATCCGTCGATTGCTGACCTCAAATCTTTGTCATCATTCGTCCCCTACCGCTTTGCTAACAATACCAGCCCTCGACAACCCCTACATACTGATGTCATTACCAGCTCGATGAAGGCGAGCTAAAGCTATTACCAAAAACCGCGAGGAAGAGCTATCTGACCTATAAACATTCCAATTCCAATTCAAGTGATAGTAAACGCCATCGTACACTGACATATCCATGCTCCTTTGGTATGGCCTGCCACCAAAATCATGCGTGGTTTAAGCTTCGTTGCCATTTGGACCACTCTCAGCTGCTTCTTCAGCTGCAACTCTCAGTTCGTAGTTGAGATCAAAGCATTCGGCCAACAGTCCAGTAACACTGCCTTGTCCTTCGGGGATATCGCCATTTACCACAAACTTGCCGTCAACTTTCATGTTATCTAAGGAGTTAAGCTGTTTCATGTTAGATATACCCAGATTATGCCACGATGTATCAACATACCTTCATGCTGTAGGGGTAAAGCTCCCGCACAGACGATACACCCCCGTTCTTCTTGACCTCAACGAGGCAACGCTTCAGTGTCTGCAGTTGGTTGTAAACAGGCAACAGAGCTTCAGACACTGGTTCGGATGCCAGCATAAATGAGTAGATGTATGCATACGACCTTCGGATCAGATAGAGCAAAGTTCGCTGCGTCCAGAGGTCAGCTGGTCGCCCCCGATCGTCCACCCAGTTTCCATTCTGTCGGTTCTCATCAATTCTGTCAAGTTGCCGTTGGAAATCGTACAGATCCGTCTCTCGAAGCGACCATGCTTGTGTAAGAGAAAGTTTCTCGAGGTCATTGCGAATTTGGATGAGCTGGTCGTAGATTGGTCGCCATTGCTCAGCTACTTCTCCTTGTCTTGAAAGTGTTAGTGTATATCCATGTAAAGTGTTGGTCATCTCACCTCTCAAGAACCATGTCCGACCAGCGGACGCAGCGATGGTACAAGTCTCTAAGCACTTCACCTCCCTCCTCCAAAGTTCCATCCTCTGCGGTAAATGTGCCGTTATTGTGCTGTTCGCCAATTTCCAAGATTTGGTTCCGTAGCTTCTTAACCTCGGATGTGGAGAACTAGTCGAAGTTAGCACATCTCGGAACATATCATTCCATTCCATTCCATTCCATTCCATTCCATTCCAGCCTCGCTTACCTTGGATTTGGTGTTGGCCAACGAGATAGATCGCAGGATCGAGATGAGCTTCTCGTGAGCCTCCAGCAAATAATCTGGCAGCCGCTCTAATCTCTTCTGAAGTCGCGACAAGGTTGAGTTGCAGAGCGCAACGCGGTTCTCAAGTAGTGACAGCATGTATGGAGGGTGTCGCTTGTCGGGCGATGGGTCAGCGGCGGCATCTTTGATGCTCTTGGACAGATCCTCAAGTGTAGTCTGGATGCTTCCGAGATCCTTGGCTGAGTAGAGCTCGGCCTCGGTGAGGTGGTCGAGTAGTCGCTTGACAGTTGAGGTCATAGCGTATGTTGCTGGTGCCTCATTGTTTCGTCCGATCGTCAGGTAGAATAGAGACAGCAGTTGGAAGCAGCTCTCCAAGACCTTGTCCACTGGAAATAAACTTGTTAGCACACTCGGGGTTGGATGCGACAAGACGGTGACATACATCTGTTCTCCTCCTTATCGCCTGTTTCGGCGCGCACAATCGCCAGCTCCTTGACCTGATCCATGGTCTCATCAAACAATGGCATGACATCTTGAGTTCGAATGTAGTTCGTGCGATCTTGTTTCAGAAGCAGTAGGCGATCTCGGACCAGCTGTAGTTTCTCGAGGATAGCTTGTTCCCGGGGGTCCCGTGGCATTGGGATCGCTGGAGTCTCCATGTTGATAGGTGCCGTTTCCGAGCTTCTTATGGGAGTGTTGTAGAGATTCGTGCGATACAAATGGTTGAAAGAGAAGTTGTTTGTCACTATTGAGCTTGGAAGTGTATTGGCTTGTTGTTTGTGCTTTGCGCAGGTCTCCGAGGCTCCGATGAGTGACGAAAGTCGACGAGTGGCGGCGGGGCTCAAGATCCAGGGAAGTTGAGTCGGCTTTCGGTGGGGAGGTCGTGATAAACTAACTCACGTAGGCGCGATACAAGTCACAAGATGTGTATTAATTAAGCGGTGGATGAAGAATGATAGATAGTCTGGAGAGAGAATGCGGAGACGAGAATGCAATGGGAGATGATATAGTTGATGATGGAAGAAGTTGACTAGCGGACTGTAGATCGTGGAGAAACGATATCACGGTTACAGTTCATTCAGTTCAGTTCAGTTCAGTTCAGTTCAGCTGGGCCTGCTCATCCCTCGACCAAGAACGGACGGGATGTTGTCACTTAATCATGGCAACTGGAAGCAAGGCCTAGACCGACCCCTCCATCAGGTCCTGCAGTCACTTCACCTATTACCGTACGCGGTACGCCCTAACTACGTCTTCGCTACGGCATTGAGCCAGAACGACAACGGCTAAGCTGTTTGCTAGTGGGGGTTCCCAACAAGGGAGGGAGAGAGGAAGAGAAGGAGTTGGTTGATAAGGGATTGGTCCTGGTCAGTGAGCATTAATTAGACTTCAGTGAGTTTGAATGCCATCTTATTCACTCAGGATAATGATAGGTCTACATACTCTGCTGTTTATGGTATTAAAGTTGTAATTGCTCCTATCATCAATCATATCTTGCTTGACAAACAATCCTCTTGTAATGTTTCCCAAAGGTGGGGTAAAAAGCGCCGCAATTCACTGCATTCTTGGAAACACATCTCATTGGCTCGTTACCTCGCACCCAATCAAAGGCGTGACTCACTCTCTCTTGCAGCCACGGAGCGGATTAATTCACATCGATCGCTTCTGCCTCCACTTTTTCTTTAGGTCTTGAAGCCCTTCAATCGAATTTCGACCAGATTTTCTGTGGTAAGCCCATTTGGTGATATCCCGACTTCAAACTACAACCGACTCGACTTCGTGCAGACTTTACAATCTCCCACCCGCACGTCAAAATCATTCACAATGTCCAACGCCGAGCTCGCTTCGTCCTACGCGGCCCTGATCCTCGCCGACGACGGTGTTGAGATCACCGTACGTTTAACCCCGCGATTCCGTCGACGTTTCGTGTGTGTGTTGTGAGGTTATTGATAGCTAACATCGTCATCGCGACTTTTCAGGCCGACAAGCTCCAGACCCTCATCAAGGCCGCCAAGGTCGAGGATGTTGAGCCCATCTGGACCTCCATCTTCGCCAAGGTACGAACCGAATAACCCCAACGATTTTTATGCGCCCGTATCATTCATAGGACTTGGATTTTCTGACGGATTTTATTTGAACAGGCTCTCGAGGGCAAGGATGTCAAGGATCTTCTCGTGAACGTCGGTTCCGGTGGCGGTGCAGCCCCTGCCGCCGGTGGTGCCGCCGCTGCTGGTGGTGCCGCTGAGGAGGATGCTCCTGAGGAGGCCAAGGAGGAGGGTATGTCTACCCACGACGCTCGACAACTGATTTCGGATTGCTGACAACCACTACAGAGAAGGAGGAGTCTGACGAGGACATGGGCTTCGGTCTCTTCGACTAAGAAGTTACGCCGCTACGACTGTTTCCTTGTTCTTTGTACTTCGACTGCATGGCTTCGGGGTTCTCAATCGATCGATCATACAGGATGGAGAGCGGGCACTGTAACCTGCGCCCTGGACAGAGTAGCTCCTCACATACGATGCTATGAGGAACGCACTCAACGGAGTTTCGCGGAGGGAGAATTGGTCAATTCATACGGCTCTGATAAAAAAAAGTCCCGCCATGGGTGGTTTGAGTTCAACTGGGTTTTCTTCAAAGCGTGACTATGTCGCCAGAGTGCCAGCGATTATGATTGTGATCAGTGACGAATGTTGTCGTTCTTTTATCTGCTCTAACTCTACCTAAAGGACTTTTTTCTGTTCTTCGTAGTACTCCAGATTCATCTCACATGTCCCCCACCAACGCCGCGCCATGCACAATCTTTCATGTCTACGTCAGATGTTTATTTGACAATCAGGACGGATGACGGAACCAATCCCGCTTCCTTCAGGGTCTTGGAAAAATCGATGTCACCCTCAAAGGTCTTGCGAGGGAATGTAGTAGTAAAGCTGGACACAGCATTCCCCGTCTCGCTCTGTAGCTGTTGCGCCAGCTCGAACAATGTCGTCTCAGCCGGCAGAGTCTTGGTGATGTTTCCGCCGTCAGTCTGTAGTCGGAGTCGGGCTTCGTTGTGGTTGCTCTTGGGCTTAGATGCGGCAGCGGCAGCAGCAGCGCCACCAGGAGTAGCAGCTTCGACTTGAGGAGCTCGACCCTCACGAGCTGCCTTGGCCTCCTCTGCCTTTCGGCGTCGCTCAGCTTTGTCGGCCTCGATCTTTGCCTTGATGCGTCTCTTGGCTTCCTGGTCCTCAAGCTTCTCTTGTCGTTTCTGGGCTGCTTCCTTGACTGCTTGCTTGCGGGCCAGCTCTTCCTTTGCTTCCTGGCTCTCCTTGGTAGCCTTTGCTCGAATTTGCTACGACAGGTTAGAACTGAGGAATGAAGCGACTGGATGTTTTTCTTACCTCGTTGCGCTTGTTGTCTTCCTTGTCCTTGACAGATTGAAGAGCTCTCTTGGCGGCGAGACGCTCACGAAGTTGCTCAAGCTTGGCCTTCTTCTCGTCTTCGGTTAGAGGGGCAATCTCCTCTGTTGACTCTGAGAAGTCCGTATGCTCGCTGTAGTCTCAGTCAGCCAAAAGTTCCCCAGAAGATAGTTGTGTCAGGTTGACATACGTCTTGGTCGCGTGATAGGTAGCTAGATCATGGTTCTTGAACCTCTTTCCACAATCATTGCAGATCAATGACTTGGCGGTGCCAGTCTCAAGCTCTGCGATCTTGGCTTCCGTATCCTCGTCGTCATCATCCTCTGCCTTCGCAGCGGCAGCAGCCTTGATCTCATCAATAGGCTTGTCCTGGTTATCCTCAAGCCACTGAAGAGCGCCCTGAACTACTAAAGTTAGCCTGGAACGAGTCATCTGAAAAAAAGTAACTGACGGCCTCCAGTCTTCTTGACAGCAATCTCAGCACGCTCCTTGTCAAAGCCCATATCGAGCAGGGTATCGAGATCAGAAGGCATGTTGGCGGTGTTGTTTAGTAACAGTTGGTGATAGTGGGGTTGGATGAGGGGCAACTGTTGATGAGTTGAGCGGATGATGGAGAGAATGTAGAGACGAGATCTTGATTATTTGAGTACCGGGGAATTATTGTGACAGACAAAAAAAATCTCAGTCTTGAATAAAGTCAAAGTGGAATAAGCCTCTGCACTGAGTTGTCTTTTGATGCTGAAACCAAAGCTTAGGTAAAGCCTAAGAACGTCATTCAAGGCGCTGCCTCAGTGACGTCGCCGGGATTACTACGGTTAAGCACGGGCGTTTTCATGACTGATATTCCGATATACCTTAGTAGAAGTGATTTCTCTCCTCTCATGATGAGACTTTATTTCCTACAGTTCGACATACTCGAAAACTGGAATCTATTCTCGCTCAAACACGACATCTACGAGAGACAAGCTTCCCGAAACCACAGACTCACAAACTTCATATATGCAAACGCATCTACCGATTCAAACAAGTATTATCATTAAGTGGGCTCGCTAATGAGCTTTGGGTATCATCATAAGTTCATGCCGTCCATATCTAACATCAAAACAAAGTATTAATCCTCCTGAAGCCGTCTTCATCACTGAAGTGGCCAGCTACCGTGCTTTCGAGCGTATGCCTCTCCAAGACGATTCAGCACCTCTCGCGAAACATCTTGATGGTATTTTCTGCACCAGTGGTTGATTTGGTTCCCATTTAGGGACTCTTGGCGAGTAAGAGTCAGATATCGATGTAGGTATGCAACTGCATCCTCCAGGTCATCGGCTCGGATGTTGTCGTAGAGACTGTTGAGTTTGCTGCACAGCGCATAGTCCCACGGGGCAGCGTAAACTGTCAGACCGCCGTAGTTACCGCGATGCTCGAAGATGACTTCGTGCTGGTCCTTGGCCCATTGAAGAATATCGACCTGGACATTTCGAGGCACGAAGAACTGCATAGAATTGTTGAACCACTGCTCTCCGAGAGTTCCTTGAGCCTTCTTGTTGGCGAAACTAGCAGCATTGCTGAGTGTGATGTATTCTTTCGAGGCAGGATCGTGAAGAAGGAACTCGACGTCGGGAGTTGTCTCTCTGTGACGCAGATAAAGTGCGTTCACAACACCGCCAACAACAGCACACTTCACATATGTGCCACATTCGTTCAGGTACTCGGCCATATGTTGGAAGGCGTCGATGATCTGCTGTCGACTCAACTCTGAGGTTTCAGGGAAGTCTTGAAAGATAGACGAGGGAGCCATGACAGAGCCAACTGAATGGCTTGAGATGGTCACAGGACGGATAGGTCGAGACTCCATCTCGAGGATGTGGCGAGAGTTGTGGCAGCCCATGATGAAAGTGGTGAGAGTTGTGCAAGGATAAGTTGAAACAATATTGGGTTAATATCGAGTATTATACTGCAAGAGATACGAGAGATCTATCTAGATGTCGTATAAAGAGGTGATCTTGTCGGATTCAGTCCACCTGACTCTGGAGATCTGTTCGTATAAATACCAAAGCCAAGTGCCGAATAGCCCTACTGCAACCTTTGAGACAGGAGTAGCACACACATATTTGCGCCATAAGCGGTTGTTCCAGAAGAATTCAGTCAGCCGCAGGATGATTCTCTACTCCTACTGTAACGTAGGAGCAGAGAAAATGGAGTGGCCGCCCGTGGCACCGCCTCGTGTCGATCAAATACGAGGGTCCTACCCGCAGATGGCGCTCCTGTGAGCCTAGCTATCCACCTTTTGGATGGATTTGGAGGACTGTGGTAGGCTGAGTCTGGACTCTGACCTATCCGTAGCGTCGGAATTCAATGTTTAGGATATTTTTAGACGTCTTATTATCCCTCGAACAGTTGCTAGGCTAAGGTAGTTTTAAGTGTGAGCGGTTGGTTAACATGCCGTGATATTTAGTCAAGTCGTTCATCGCGAAAGCTTATCAATAGGACACTCCCGTGCCTGATTTGAGCAGCATTTGGTGATGTTTGCAACACAGCCCAAGCCCTATAACTACTGGATGCCACCACCCACGAGCTGACCACGTTCTTGTCAGCATTTAGAGTCAATCAACTGCACAGTAGGTTTCACCACTCTGAAGAATTTTTCATTTTCAAGTTGCACAGCCTGTCGAGTCTCAAATGTTCGAGAATATGCAGCGAACCTCGGGCAGCAAGTTCGGACTTCCGTCGATGAACAACTCACTCATGCAATCCATGACTGTTGCGCTTGAGGGAGCTGCTTTTTCTTAGAAGAGAATGTGGCAAAACTCGAGACCTCGATTACAAGTGACGAGAGTGCTTATTAGACAAGTTTAAATAAACCGGGGAGGCTTGCTGAACAGTTATTATAGTCCTCGGGTCGAATGGTCTCGAGTCTTTGGTCCATGTTGACACATTCATTCTCCCAACTCATTCGGCGAATATTGCAAAAGCCATCTTCATTTGATGGCCCCAAACCATTGATGCAACTTACTCTCCACAAAGGAGATCACTTTGCTCATCCCTTGTCTGTTAGTGTTTTAATGAATATGGAGGTGGGTGTCAAAACTGTTCGAGATTGTTTGTCAATGCTCAACAAAGAATAGAGAGTCAGAGTTCATGACGGCCGCGCTAACGGACCTGCCAAGCTCTGCCGCTACCTTCAGTTGCCTCGAGTTTGCCTCGGCCCTCTCCGCATCTGTTCTAAAACCATGTGCCATGATGCCCTCACTTCCCTGATTTGAGACGCTTAACCATTCAGGTGCTTACCAATACAAGGACCTGCATATCGTGGACCAGCTAAACCCTTTTTTGTGGACAGCAAACGGAGACTTGGAAAGATAGTGGACAACTGCAGGACAATGGAGTTAACAGAAAAGGTAAATGTGAGGATGACGTTTGAATAAGAATAAGGTAAGGTACCTATGTATGTGGTAGCTTCATCAGTGTTCAATCAACGGATTTCTATGAAATCAAGGGCGAGCAGACGAGATCCAATAGTGACTGATAGCGGAGTTTAAGCCCCCTGATGGCTCGTGCGCCCTGTAGCAACCACCTGAAGTCGAGCCGACTCAACTGGGAATAGGGCGCCATAGCAGAAGCAATTACGTCGTAGGAGATCCCCAAGACACAAACCAACGTCAACCTGCCTTCCATTCCCCTTCCAGGTATAATCAACTCAACTCACCACACTCCACTGCTACTAATCTTTCATTTCGTCACCAATTTCTTCCTTCTCCCACGCGACCAACTTCCTCAAATCTTATCGACTCGGTGCAGCCTCGTGTTGCTATACTTTTAACTTACCTTTAATCAAACTCCCCCCCCCTTTGCTAATCAACGAACGACATTTCATACTGTACTCTACCTCCCGTTGCCACGTTTCCACTTGGTTACCGCCGAGGAACCATCGCGCGATACCACAAACCATAACAACTTCAGCATTTTATTACCGCTACCACGATAAGAAGCC